TCTGCTTCGTCCACGGTGAAAGCCGATCCGGCGATCGACAGCGCAAAGTTGTAGTATTTCCTCAGCAACCAGCTGAAACCATGCCAGAAATCAGCTCCAGGCATGACGAAGCAGATATCGTCCTCTTTTGGAAGACCAAACAAAGTAGTTTCGCTTTCACAACGAAGCACACAGCGTCTTTATGACATGGTGGCGGAAACAACAAAACTACAGTGAGAATAAAAGTTACACCTTCTTTCTTTGCGTGAACATTTGGGCGGCATTATGCAAATCTTCCCACATAGCGACGTAGATATGTGGGGGCGTGTTAGAACGAGCCGTTTTAGGTAGGCGTGGCTGACTCTTAACTTTTATAAAGAATATCTCTTTGGATTTGAGACTTTAGTCTTTGCAACTTTACAGATCTTCTTTATGCACCAAGAGCTTGTAACACTCCAAAGAGAAAGGAAAAATTGAAATCGCATCATATGACCCCTTTAAACATCAGAGGTGAGCACTCTTCCTTATTGAATGATTGAATGATGGGTCCGGTCCTTAAATGTTACTTACACCCCCGTAGCTGGAAACAATATATCATGTAATAACCTTATCTGGAGTGATTTCTTACTGCTTTTTATTGGATAAAAAAGAAACACTCTCAATGAGAATATCTGGCAGACGTTTCTCTTGGTGAGGTAGATGTTAAGAGAGAGAGAGATTTTCTCTCTCTCCCTATCCTCAAATATCTGTCTTTATTTTTTGGCCAATGCTTTGACTCATGTTGGCAGAGGTGACCCAAATAAATGCACTAACACCAGTCATTTAGGGGGGCTAGGGGTGGGGTTAGAAAAAAAAAACAATGTATAAGACCCAAGTGTGCTAGTTTCCCTTATTGCGTAGTGTTCCTCCATCCTTACTTTCTTTTTTCTCTCTTTCATACTGACCCCCCACCCCTTATCCTTCTTGTTCAAGACATGAGTGTGCAATGATTTGCTTTTGGGGGATAAAACCCACAGTTTGGGAGTGGAGAGGGATATTACAGAGCAGCATGGCCTGGAGTAAGGTACCTCTACTCTTGCATGGATTTCTCCTGCTGGTTCAGTGTAAACCCTCCCTTCAAGGAGGTAAGGTCTCTCCAAACTCATTTGGCTTTTCTTTCTTATTGCATTACAGGTGTATTGCAGTTTTGGCAATAGCATCACACTCTTTTAAAATTAGTAGCACACTGACAGTGTATGCACTTAGGTTGTATTTTGTTGTCTATATTCTGAATGTTCTAGGTACAGGTAAAGGATGGATGAATAAAAAAAGTAAGCAAGTTGAATTAAAAGTGCTGTACTGAGGAAATGCTGTGGTGCATTGTTGCAGGATGGTTTATTGTGTAATGAAATTTGAATCAGGTCTTGTTCCTGCATGATCTTTAAATCTTAATACTTATAGCATTTTATATTACTTTGATTACTTTATATTAGTTTTGGATAAAACTAAATATTAGCGAAGTATGTAACATATCAGTGAAACATGATGCATTTGCATTTGGTTAAAGTTTGTAATGTAATTTTAAGTTTAATTTGATATAATCACAAATAGTACTCTATAAATCCAGGTGGATTTTTATTTTTTAAAAATGTAAATTTTTTTAAGGATTTGAAGTCACTGTTTATGTTTATGGATATGGTTTCCACTTGTCATTTTTTTATTCAGGTAAAAGGAAAGGTCTGAGAAATTCTAATCCAGATCATTACATCATATACTAACAACCTACAAGCTTTTCCCAGTGGGTTTGTAGAACAGACTAGTTCTAAGCTCTTGTAATAGGTCACGTATAGGATGTTGTTCTTCATATGAATCACATCCATTCTCTGTTCCCCTAGCCTCCACCTTAAACAGCAAGGCAAGGGGACACAGAAACTCATGTGGTAATGCATTCGGTGCTGTTTGAGGCTTCACATAAAAGACTAGATGCAAGATTAGTTAGAACCCCCCTGGGTATGTGGCATCATCACTGAGTAAAGCACAAGAATGGTCCTCATAAACTGGTAATGTGTTGCAGGAGTTAGATCATAATATGCATCGTCTGACATTTTAAATGAAAAAAAATATGGGTTTGCAGTGCAAACAGTGATGTTCTCAGCTTTTCAGCAGATGTGATAATATGTAATAACGTTTTAGAGAATATTCTCTTTATTCTCCTCATATCAATTTCAGATTTCTCAAATACTTACAAAAACACACAACTAAAGGTTTCCTTATTTCTTTATCCTGCACACTTTCCTGCACAGGACATAAGAAATTTACTACTGTTCACTTTCTCTATCAGGAATCTACATACCAGCTGGTGCAGGGGGAGGAACTGGAGGTGGATTAGGGGGTGGTCTTGGTACTGGAGCTGGATTTGGTGCTGGAACCGGTCCAGGAGGTGGATTTGGTGCTGGAATCAGAAGTGTTGGGCCAGGAGTTGGTCATGGAGGAGCTGGAACAGGATTAGGTCCAGGTGCTGGTCCTGGTCCTGGTGGTCTTGGAATCGGGCCAGGAACTGGCATAAGACCTGGAACTGGTGAGAGTTTACATTTATTCTTAAACATTTCACGTGCAATTAGTGTCCATAGCTTCAATATCAGTGCTATAACAATCTTTAATAAATGAGCAACTAATAAAGAATATTGCATTGTAATATAATAATTTGTAATATTTAATATTTTTCATGACCAGGAGTTGGTGTAATACCTGGTTTCATACCAGGAAAGACAGGAGGTAAGTGGCTAAATGTCTCTTAATTAGTAATTTTAAGTTTGATTAAATTAATATTTACTTGTCCAACTTGGAACAGGTTATGGAGGTGGTGGTCCTGGGGGGCAAGGTACTGGACTGGGTGCTGGAGGCCTTGGAGGAGTTGGGCCTGGTGCTGGAGGTCTTGGGGGAGTTGGACCTGGTGGTGGAGGGCTTGGTACAGGAGGACTTGGTACTGGTGGATTAGGCGCGGGAGGCCTGGGAACAGGTTGATGAATATTCCTTTACATATTATGGTACTGTAACGCCCCCTTCCTGCCACTGGGAATTTTAAGGGTGACGCCCAGGTTCTTCTATATAATAGGTTTAATTTGTTTAAATTCGTGCCTATCTATTTCACACCTTTATCACAAAATATCAGGAAAAATTAAATACAACATACCACAAAGACAAAAAGTTAACGCACATTTTAATTTACTTAATTAAAATGAATCTGTTGTCAATAAAAAAATTAAAATATTATTTCGTGTTACAGTGGTAGTCTTTTCAATAAAGTTTCTATCAAACCACAAGCGTGTAATCCCCTTCTATCAAATGAGCTCTATATGTAAAATCAACAGTCAGCAATATGAAAGAAACAAAATCAAGAACTGTCACAAATCAATGAAATTTTACTTCCTAACTTGACGATGCCCTGCCGAACTTAGAATCCTCTCACTCTGGGTCAGCGGTAGACAGCAATCCAGTCACCACGGTTCACGTCCGTTATCGTTCTCCTTATCACTTTCCTTGCCGATGATCGCGACCATAAACAGTTAACGCGAGATGCATTGGCTCGCCACCAATAGTTCTCCAGTAATGTCTGTGATGCACTTTAAATTAATCGGGAACCTTCGTAGTCACGCTTAGCCAGCAGTAGGCCTAACTCAAAAGTAGCAGTTACTCAAAAGTCCACTCTAATGTCCTTGAGATGGACTACCATGCACATATTTCTAACGAAAAACACATATACAGGGAGATATCTAGCCGACATCTCCCTTCTCTCACTCGTACTATCTTCTATTGCTCCTTCTCTATCCGTTCTCCCATCTCGTGCCACCCCTCCTTCATATCCTGATACCTGATAGGTTATTATTCACAAAGTACCCAATCACATTATAAAGAAAATAAAAATGACAGACCCAGCAGTTTAGGTTATCTCCAAGCACATTTTTCTACAGTACATTTTAACCTAACTTTATACAGTTTTACAACTTTATCTAAATCAGAAACCCATAATAGATTCCCACATGGGCTACAGTACAATAATGTACCATAAAATGTATTTAACATAATTAATATTTTGTAATAACATATCTAACTATTTAGGGGCATGCTATTGAGGCACAAAAATTATTTCATGAATTTTATCTTTTTCACAGGGTCATTCATCAAGCCACATAAAACAGGTGTGATGTAACGCATGCTAAAAGTTGGGATTGATTTTAATAATAAAGATTGGCAGAGACATTGCCTTTACATCAGATGAGAAATTAATTGTGTCAACACAGGAGGATATGGAGGTCTACCAGGAATTGGACCAGGTGGTACAGGTGTGGGTCCTGGATCACTTGCACCTGGAGTAGTTGGTCCTTCTGGCATTGGTCCAGGAGGCATTGGACCGGGCGGAATAGGACTTGGTGGCATTGGACCAGGAAGTGTCGGACCTGGAGGGATTGGTGCTGGTGCTGGAACTGGAGGCCTTGGAGCAGGTAATATTTCTCAGAATGTAATTTTACTAATAAGCAATCAAACTTATCTGAACTGTTCCCTATAAGGTTCTGCTCGTCTTTGTTGGGGATTGTAGAATAACTCAGTGTAGCTGAGCCAAATAAATACTGGAAACTTCACTTTTGTTGGTAGGGTGGTAGATATTTAAATGGTTAATAGATTGAGATTGATCTCAATCACTTTTTTATGTCACCTTTTTTATTTTATCTGTAGGTGCTGGTGGCAAACCTCCTAAACCAGGTGAGTGGGAGAAAACTGCATTCAATAAAGTGTTCACATACATCTGCAATTTCAACTACATACATTAAGTTAAGCAAATAATGTATTGGTTTGATTAAGGTTTGCATGAGTCTTGCTTCACACAAACAGGTTATGGGGGTATTCCAGGCACTCTTGGAACCGGAGGTCTTGGTGGTAGTGGTGGTCTTGGTGGCCTTGGACTCAGGCCAGGGGGTTCTGGCCTTGGAGGTTTAGTACCTGGTGGCTTTGGTGTTGGTCCTGGAGCTAGTGGCATTGGCACATGGGTACCTAGACAAGGTAGAGAAACTCAATCGTTTCAAAGTTAAGCAATCTTTTATGGTGATGTTTCTTACAACAGAGAATTCTATAATTTTTTTGTCAGGTGTGGGCACTGGTGTGGGAGGGTTTGGCCCTGGTGGAGTTGGTCCAGTAGGTGCTGGAAGAGGTTAGAAAGTTAATAAAACTAAATGTTAGTAATTATATATGGATATTTAAAAGCTTAATTCTAAATATATTAGGTTTTGTTTAGTACCATTATTTTTTCCCTTTCCTGCTTCTAGGTGTGGGAGGAAAACCACCAAAAACAAGTAGGCAATCTATAAGACCCACTTTCATCTTCACTGAGAAATTTAAGGTAGCTTCACACACACACATTATTTTCAGGTTATGGAGGTCTTGGTGGTTATGGCTCAGGAGGTGTCAGCACTGGAGGTATAGGACCTGGTGGCATTGTTCCTGGTGGAGTTGGACCAGGTAGCGTCAGGCCAGGTGGCATTGTCCCTGGTGGCACTGGACCTGGTGGCATTGTCCCTGGTGGAATTGGACCAGGTGGCATCGGACCAGGTGGCATTCTCCCAGGTAGCACTGGACAAGGTGGCATTGTCCCTGGTGGTGCTGGACCAGGTGTCTTGAGTCTTGGTAAGACATCTTTTTAATCAACAGTAGACACAACAACAGTTTTTTTATTAATACCTTTGTGATTCTGTTCATAGCACTATTTAATAAAAATAAACAAAACAATTTTGCTTTGTCACAGGAGCAGGCAGAAAACCTGGGAAACCAGGTATGATGTGAATTAAAAAGTATTCTGCAACAAAAAAAGTGTGCACTCATACTTAAAATCCATGTTGTTTTTGCTGTGAACATCACTATTTCTTATTAATTCTTATAGCTATATCAGTCAGAAAGCAGTGTATTGTCAGTCGTTTCAAAATGCATTTAGCTCAGATGGTCTAAATTTAGGTTATGGTGTGCCTGGGAGTTTTGGTGGTGGACCGTTTGGAACAGGAAGTCTTGGAGCAGGTGCTATTCCACTTACACCTGGAGGTGCTGGAACAGGCTACCCATCAGGTGGTAAGAATATACTTCCTTTCCTCATATGTTGTAGACATGAAATAATAACATAAACAATAAAAAAGGAATAAATTTAAAGATGACCAGGGGAAAGTGATCATATTTTGAGGGGGTTAAATTAAAAAGGAATATTATCTGCTGCTTAAAAATGTAATTTGTTTTTAGGTAGCTGTAGTGGACATGGTGGGCCTGGAGGTCTTTATCCTGGAGCTGGAACAACTGGTCAGAAACCACCAAAACCAGGTAAAACTAGATCTATGGACATGAGCACTGGCTTAAATAAAGGTGTGATATTTGATTACTTTGTAACTTGTGGAATGAAACAAATCTTTATAAAATTGTCACTATTTTATATCACAGAAAAAAAAAATCACTTTTTAAAAAAATGTAAAATAAAAAAAATATAAATAAAATGTATTTAAACTGCACTAAAACATGTTGTATTTGATCCTTGTGTAATAGGAATTGGACCTGGAGGTGCAGGAATTGGTCCAGGTGGCACAGGACTTGGACCTGGTGGTGTGGGAGTTCTGCCTGGAGGTGTAGGAATTGGACCAGGTGGCACAGGAATTGGACCAGGTGGAGCTGGAGTTGGGCCTGGAGGTGTGGACCTGGTGGTGTGGGAGTTCTGCCTGGAGGTGTAGGAATTGGACCAGGTGGCACAGGAATTGGACCAGGTGGTGCAGGAATCAGTCCAGGTGGCACAGGAATTGGACCAGGTGGAGCTGGAGTTGGGCCTGGAGGTGTAGGAATTGGAACTGGTGGCACTGGAACTGGAATTGGAGGAGCAGGAGTTGCGCCTGGTGGAGGTAGGTTTTGAGGGCCATGACTCTTAAACTACTGCTCTTTGCAGTTGCTTGCAAATTTTCACCTTTGCAACTTTTCAATTCATTATGGCTCCCAGCACCTTTTCTCCCCCAAACAGGTTTACCAGGAACTGGAACTGGGACAGGCACTGGGGGCAAAGTCGGAAAGACTGGGAAGGCACCAGTGCCAGGTAACTCCGTCTACTGATGGAGCTCCCCTTTTGTTGAAATAGTTTTATCAAATCTTTGACAAGAAAGCATTGTTTTATATTTCTCTTTCTGCAAACAAACAAGGTGTTGGGATTCCTGGGCTATACCAAGGGGGTATAGTTCCTGGACAAGGTGAGTGACTGAAATAGTAGAAATATGACAGTTACAAGATTTTCCATTGTTTCTAGAATATTCATACACATATGACATCTACATTTTTGTTTTTATATGTAGGTTTTGGCGGTAGAGGCATTCTGCCAGGTGTAGCAACGGGATCTCAAACTGGTAAGCTTTATGTGGTTTATAGTTTTATAATTGATAGCTTTATCCAGCAATTAAAATGTTTTCTGAGGCTCTGTCTTCTATTTTGTTGTTTATAGGGCTGCTTGGTCAAGGTGCACTTGGAGCTAATGGTAAAATAAATTACTGAGAGAACAGTTCTTTCAATAAAAGGTATCAAAACTGCTTCTAACAGAGCTCACTTGTCTTTTTCTTTTGCAGGAGGCCGCGGAGGATTTGGTCAACAAATACCAGGCGTGTTCCGTGGATATCCTCTTATATCACCAAAGTCTGGAGGTAGTATCCATGTTTTTATCCATTGTTGTTATATACATTTGAGATCAACTAACATAAATTATACTCGTCAGCCAATTAAATTAGCTTCTCATTATTTAAAATCAATTTATTTGCTTTATGAGTTTAGAGTTTTAGAGTATTTATGGAAATTTACTTACTTCATTTAAGGTACAAGTGCAGCAAAATCTCAGGCTAAAGCTGCCAAGTACGGTAAGTCATGCAGGAAAATAATGTAAGACTTTCTTAGGAACAATAATTTCAATATATGTCTAAACGACATGCTTGATATTGCTGACTCTCCTTGCAGGGGCTGGTGGTGTTCCTGGTATCGGTAGTGGTGGGCTTGGTGTAGGAGGTATACCAGGTGCAGGTGGTGTTCCAAGCATAAATGGCATTCCTGGTGCAGGAGGTGCGCCAGGAATAGGAGCTGTTCCAGGTGTTGGAGTAATTCCTGGAGCTGGCGGTGCAACTCCTGGTGTCCTTTATCCAGGAACTGGTGGTACCTATCCTGGGGGTAAATTTATGATTTATTACAAACTGAGAAATATTTAAGGATTATCTAAAACACTGAAATTTACTCAAGTCTTATAATATCCATGGATTGTCTCTCATTAGGAACTGGGGCAAAAGCTCGAAAGAATGGTAAGAAAACTTACAGATTCATGTCATATACAATCACCTGGCTGACAACTGTCTCTTTCATGGAAAAATTATAGGTGTAAAGAAATGACGGTAGGTATCAGGGGGAATCCAAATCTTAAATATTAAGCCTTGTAAAATCAGTTAAAGTAGAAAAAGACAAATTAAACATGAAAAAGGCTTATTTTTCTGGATTGAAGTTTATCATGCAGCATATATAAAAACGGAGGTTCGTCTTCATTTCTATGCAATTTTGGGTTTTTTATTTTCTAGCTTCAGGGATAGAAACTGGTGGACTTCCTGGTTCTGGTTTTGGAGTGGGTGGTCTTGGAGCGGGAGGACTTCCTGGTTCTGGTTTGGGAGTGGGTGGTCTTGGAGCTGGAGGACTTCCTGGTTATGGTTTGGGAGTGGGTGGCCTTGGCACTGGTGGAATCCCTGGACTTGGTCCTGAAGGTATGTAGAAAAAAAGAATTTTAGTTTGAAAATTACCCCGTTTTGAAAGTTATTATCATTAACAGCATGATTATCTACTTTTCTGCCTTATTTTAGGATATGCTGCAGCCAAAGCAAGAAAATATGGTACGACTACATTTTGCATTTTACAATGAAATAGATTTTGGTAACAGCAAATCAACAGTAATGTCATTATAATAGTCTTCATTGTGTCCATAAATACACATTGTTGCACAGGGGTAGCCAACCCTGCTAATGGAGAGTTCCAGTACCGTAGCTCTAACCCTAATCAAACACACCTAAACCAAGATGCTGAGGATTACTTGACAATTGCAGGAAGGTGTGTTTGAACAGGGTTTTTTTTTAATATTTTGAGTTTCGTCAAAATTCCATATTGAATATTTGGCTCTGTTATTTGGCTCTTTTTAAGTTCAAAAGAAATATAATTTTAACATGCCTCTTTATGATTTAGTGTATGTTGTATACCCAACATCTGGGTTCCTCAATTAGTGTCCCACAAGCCAAATGCAATCCTAATCATTTTTACATAAAATCACAGTGTGATTTATCACTGTGCTCAGATTTTATGATTTTATTTCATATATAATTTGTGAAATTCTAGTCACAGTCACAGAACCTTAAGAAATGTAAGACATTGATATTCACTGATAAATCCTTTGTAGCCCATCTTGGACGTCCTGGTGGGACTTTAGGTACTGCAGGAGCAGCTGGTGTGTCTGGTGTTGGACTTGGTGGACTACCTGGTGGAGGTTTTGGGAGTGGTGGACAACCTGGAGGCGGACTTGGAGTTGGAGGGCTACCTGGAGGTGGACTTGGTGGATTACCTGGTGGAGGAACTGGTGGACTTCCTGGCGGTGGAGTTGGTGGTCTTCCTAGCGGTGGTGCTGGAGGACTCCCCAGCTCTGGCATTGGTACCAAATCAAACCATCATATTGTATAACAAAGTTTACAATAATGAAGTGAGGTCATATTTAATAATTAAATACTCTGATGCTTTGCAGGATATGCAGAGGCAAAAGCTCGTAAATATGGTAAAACAACCTTTAATTGAATCCTTCAACAAACTGCACTGTTAAATTAATTATGATGGTTTTATTGATTGCATTTATCATCCAAACTTTATTGTAGCTTACAACCTTAAATATTATATTTATTTTTCTAGGTCTGCTTGGTGGAGGTGCTGCTTTAGGCCAAGGCACTGGATTAGTTGCAGGTATTCCAGGTGTATTGCCAGGCACTGGTGTCGGAACAGTTGGGGCAGGGGGTATACCAGGAATTGGGGCTGGACAAGGAGGTGTCCCTGGTGTGGGTTATGGTCCAGGAGGTGTACCCGGTGGTTGCCTTGGACCTGGTAGTGTTCCGGGAAGTGCATTTGAACCTGGAGGTAAATCAGTGTTTCTAATGACTTCAAACACTGGGCTGATCAAATTTGTTCAGAACCGATGAAATTTGCAACATTGACACTGTTATTGAACTGAACTGAATCGACACTGAACCGACTCAAACTGAATAACGACACCACTGTCTTCAGTAGAGCTGCTTATAGCTGAATTTAACTTGTTTCATAATGAATGAACTTTACAGTTACCATCACTGAACTGACTGGCGCTGAATAATAACACTATTGTCTTACTACAGCTTTACAGAAGAATTTGGATTTGCCTCATTTTTGAAGTTTGCATCATTGATTCTGTTACTTTTCTGTTTAAAACTGTAAAGCTGCTTTGAAACAATCTATTATATAAAGTGCTATAAAAAATAAAGGCAACTTGACTTAACATTATACCCTATTTTTACAAACTTTTCTTTAGAGTGTAGTTTTCTCTAACCCACCAACCATAGTAATGCAATGTCATAAGAAAATGATAGCTTCAAACTTTTTTGGAGTTTAATTAAACCCTGGCCAATCTGGAAACCTAAGTAGCATATCTAGCCAAGTATATCCCCAGATGACCTTTCTTTGGTTGACTAAATTTAGCCATCACATTCTTTAGCACATTCTAATGTCTCATCAGTGTTATCCAAATGGATAACTGTATCATTCAAGCACACAGCAAAGTAGGTTTAGCGTGGTTAGAGCAAAATGTTGTTTATCTACTGGATGTTGATTTTAAGCATAAGTAGTATTTCGATAATCTGCTCTTCTTTCTCTGTAGCTCACCAATGTGTTAATGCATGACCACATTGGCCTGGCCAAGGTTTTTTGAGGTGACATCTTGAAGTTGTTGGGACTAGAGTTTTTTTTTTTTTATCAGCAGGTGAACAGAGGTAAAGATTTGGATTAGTGCAGGTCCCCATAAAAGCACAAGCTGGGCTATAAATATGTTGCTGTGCTCATATTTGAATGCTTTGTAGAAATAAGAAGTTTAAAGTTTCATATAAAGAACTGTACAGAACTGTAGCTTAAACACTGCTAAATCATATTTCTCCAATATTGACTTCTTACGTTCTAGGATACGCTGGGGTCAAAGCTCGCAAATATGGTAGGGGAAGTTAAATAATCTCCAAAGTTTAGTATCCATTTAGAAAAATACAAATTATAAATTACATTTTATCTATACATTTTGCAAAAAGGGGTTACTGGTGGAGCTGGTGGAACAGGATTGCCTGGAGGATTAGGAGGGTCACTTGGTAGTGGAACAGTGTCAGGTGTTGGAACTGCTAGAGGAACACCAAGTGGAGGAATTGGACCTGGGGGGGCACCTATTGGCGGTTATGGACCAGGAGGGGCACCAATCGGTGGTTACGGACCTGGAGGGGCACCTGCGGGTGGTTATGGACCAGGAGGAGTACCTGCTGGAGGATATGGACCTGGCTCTGGAGGTATGCTGACAGACATTATATTACATATATGCAGTTCAGGCGTTCTGTGTGTTTCCAGATCTACATTTATACTTTGCGTCCAATGCAGCATATCCAGGTGGACCAAAGGCCCTAAAATATGGTAGGATATTTTAAACCAATTTTTTCATATTGTTCCCCCCCCCACCACACACACACACAATTAGGCAACAGCACTTGTTAAATTATTTCAATCCATATGTAGGTCCTGGTGGTAGTGGAGGTGCTCCAGGACTTGGTCTGCAGGGTCAGGTAGGAACCGGTCCAGCAGGAGGATTTGGCACGGGGGCAGGACCAGTTGGTGGTTATGGTCCAGGGACTGTAGGAGGTCCCTGGTCTGGATTTGCTGGACCAGGACTTCCTGGTAGTGCTGCTGGAGCAGGAAGCAGAGGAGGGTTTGGGCCTGGTTATGGAACAGGTGCTGGAGGTAATTGAAACCAGTCAGAATAGGTCATTTACACAGGAATTAGAAAAGCTATATTATTAAAACTGTACCTGATCAACGTATCTTTCAAAATTACATGTAATGTTCCGATAGGATATCGACCTGGATCAAAAGCAGCTAAATATGGCAAGTTGAAATACACTACATACACTTACATGTATATTGCAAGTGCCACTTGATCATTGATTAATACACTGTACATTCTAATTGTCAAAATTGTTACCAAATATTTTATGAATACAATTATAAATATATAATTTAATATTCATCAATGTATTTTTTCAGTTATATATTCATATTTAATGCACATTACAAATATTTTAAGAATTAAACGGTGTTTAAAATCAACTTATTATAAATTTAAGGGTAAATACAGTCAAACCAAAAATTATTCAGACACCAGATATAATTTTTGATATTTGTTTTACTAGTGGGTGCAGGAAACTATAGTTCATTTATGTAAGTGAGGATAGCAAAATAAAGTAAACTGTGACATCTTATACCCAAAAAAATCTTCATACAGTGGACTACCAATAAAACTGACAAAGATTTGGGACCAAAAATTATTCAGACACTTTGACCTGACCATGTTTTGCTTAATTGTTATCTGACATTATCAAGATGAATTTGTTAACAGTTTAACTCTGAGTTCTTGTCATATTTTATTACCATTTTCTAAACTATAGCGAATAAACCGTGATAATGTGTTAAATGTTGAAGGTGTCTGAATAAATTTTGGTTTGACTGAATTAAATTTTTGCCTTGGAATAATACAACATTAACAGAGAATAAAACCCATACATACCTTGACAGGTTTACCCGGATCTGGAGGTGTCTTGGGAGCAGGAGGTGTACCAGGATTGGTAGGAGGTCCTGGCGGTATGTGAAGCTGACATGAAGCTGATTTTTTTTTTTTCTGTTAAAGGGACACTCCATCAAAAAATATTACAATTCTGTCTCACCCTCATGTCATTCCAAAACTACATGACTTTCATTCTTCTGTGGAACATACAATAAGATAATTTGAGAAATGTCTCAGTGCTGTTGATTTTTTTTTTTGTCCATACAATGCAATCCAAATAAATAAATAAATACTTTTTAGTTTACTTTTTACTTTTTTAGTTTTGCCTGGAGGGCTTGGGACTGGTGCTGGATATGGAGGTAAAGTTTTAAAAACTTTCAATAGATGCAATACTAATCACTAAACTTGAAATATGTGGTCTAAGCATTGGTGGGTGAACCTACTGATTTGTTCATGTCATTCTAAAGGGTATGGAGGAGCACAAAAAACACCTAAATATGGTAAACCACTTATGGTATTTGATTTTTATAATTAAAATGTCACATGTTTACAGTCTAAGAATTGACCCGATGCATCTCCATCTAATAGGACAACCAGCTGGTGGGGTCGGAAGTGTGTTGGGTGGGTCGATACCAGCAACCGGTGGAACTGGGGCCACAGGAACTGGAATTGGAACTGGTGATTATAACTGCTAAAAGAGGACTAAATAACACTTAATAGATACAGATAGGAATTTGTTTACATGCTCAGCATTACATCACAGGTGGTTTAGGTGGGGCTGGAGGTACACCAGTTTCAGGAACCAAACCAGACAAATATGGTGAGTTGGTGATCTATGGTTATATCATCTAACAATCCATGTCTCCAGTGAAATATTGCTATTCCAGTTTTCAATTTAAATCTGGGGTACCAGGCATCATAGGAGGAACAGCAATTCCAGGTAGTACAGCTGCTACCGGCACAGATCGTGGAGTAGGACCTAAACCTGGAGTTGATGGAGGTAATGCAATTAATTTGGAATGTACTTTAAGATACACATATAATTTATAGTGTCAATAGTGTCATAATTATCAGTCTTACCTGTTCCATGTTAGTGACTGGCAATCCTGATGGTGCAACTCGTGGTGCTGGAGGTGGTCACGGTTATTACCTTTTTTTCTTTTTACTGTATTTTTTTTTTTTACTTTCTTTCTTTCCTTCCTTCTTTTATTTTTATTTATGTATTTTTTTTTACATCCCATCCGATCCCATACATCTAGGATAAAACAATTGTCCTTTAGACATTGTAAGAAAAAATGAACAGGCGTTTCCACCTTTTAGCCACCAGTTTTATTTTGTGATTATTTCAGAATCTGGCGGACCAATAGAGGGATCAGGTGGGTCTATCGGAGGTGGTATTTTAAGATGGATTTCCAACTTTTTAAAAGGATAGAAACTGAGCAGTATGTAATTTTTTTCAGGTGTTACTGGTGGGTCCATTGATGCTGATGGACTTGATGGGGTTGCTGGGACAGGAATACCCATTTTAGCTGGAGAAAAACCAGGTAGACCTTTCCTGTTCAGTAAGCTTGTTGACATCATGTTAATCTATTGCGTTTTTTCATCTACTTTTGGTAATTTTTCTATTTGTCTGTAGCTCACATTTAATTTGCATAGAATAAAAAGTATACATTGCATCTTATGTGACACTCAAAAACCCAGACAAGCCAATAGACATAAAAAGTTCACCAGATTATGTCTGTTCAGACACAATGCCTGACCAACTGCACTTCACCGAGTGGCTGGTTGATCACAGTGCTTAAATATCCTATTTTGGGTTATTAGCGCCTAGTTTCAAGTTTGAAGCATGGCTTAACTTGCACCATGAAATCATGCTTTTATTGTCTTAAACACTGAACAGATAAGGGAAAAGAGGAGGTACTTGATTGACTTGAAGGTGCTAGGTGCTGCCTGTCATACTTTGTTTTCCACCCTCCACTTTTATGATACTTATATATTTTGTCAGAATATTCTTTAAAAATGTAGCTTTTTGGTCCACAGAAGAAAGAGAGTCATGTAGATTTTGGAGTAAATTGTGTCAGAACTTTATTATTATTATTATTATTATTGGCAAACTAATTCCTTAAACGAGCTCTTCATATTTATAGTGTGGAATTAATAGTATTGCCATCAGTATACTGTAGGCTAACAGCTGTTTATTCATGAAAACCACATATGAAATGCATATCAAAAAAACATTGTATGTTCAGAATGATTTGTAATTGCTTATTAAGTGTTGAAAATGAATTTTTAAGAGAGAGGCCTACATGTGAATACAAAATTTTTTGGTTCATGTTTTAGGTGTTTCTGGAACTGTACCAGGTTTGTATTTTAGCTTTTAGTTGTGCAATACTGTAAATGAACAGCCATTTATTACGTCTGAAAATTCCTATTTACCTTATTGACATTCTCCATTTTTAGGTGGAAGGGGATTGCCACGACCAGAGAGTAAGATCTGTCATCGTAACCAGAAAATGGATTACTGACCTCACATGAGAAGGGATCACTGAGCTCAAGATTATGTTCCCTGTTTCTTATTTTAGTAGTTGCTAGTGGTAGTTGAGTTCTTCAGCAGCCTATTTACACAAAATTATCCACCTACATCATGTTCAAAACTTGCTAATGTTACGGCTCCATCTAGTGGTGGAGGAGTCTCTCGCATGTGGTTGTCGTAGCTTATAAAACTTATTCTTTTGAAATGTATTGAGCTTTGGAATACTTTTAATGTAAATATATTTTGCATTGAAAATTCACAACATTATCTGTATGACACAGAGACTTTTAGTTTATAACTTTTTTCCAGAAGACTTAAGGTTAGTCAGATATAAAGCAATGCCTAAGAACGAGCATTTTTTTATTGGTTTCCTTGAAAAGTTCCTATTTTAGGCGTTTAGAATGGTGGTTTTTGACTGATTTCCAGTTTATATGAAATAAGTGATGTTGTAGTTAACATCACTTGAAGAGGCTTTTATGCTTTATTCATTCATAAATGCATGTTCCAGTGTGACTGAATAACTTGAAATAATGTTGTTCTTTCTTATGAGTTGGCGATAGTGGAACACTACCAGGAGCCAAACCACTAAAACCCCCAGGTACTTCATGCCATTCACTTTACTCTTATAGTCTCTATATATTTCGGCAAGCAGGTGCTTTTTCATTTGTAAAAAGATTTATTTTATTTATCTTACTGTAGGCATTGGAGGTGGAGCCATTGCTGGACGTGGAGATACTCCGGGCACTATTGAAGGAGGATCTGGAAGTGTAGGTGGTGGTCCAGGTGGGGTTGGTGGTGGGCCAGGTGGAGTTGGTGGAGTTCTGGGAGGAGTTGGTGGAGGTCCAAGAGGAGTTGGTGGTGGGCCAGGTGGAGTTGGTGGAGTTCCGGGAGGAGTTGGTGGAGTTCCAGGGGGGGTTGGTGGAGGTCCAGGAGGAGTTGGTGGTGGGCCAGGTGGAGTTGGTGGAGTTCCGAGAGGAGTTGGTGGAGTTCCAGGGGGGGTTGGTGGAGGTCCAGGAGGAGTTGGTGGTGGGCCAGGTGGAGTTGGTGGAGTTCCGAGAGGAGTTGGTGGAGTTCCAGGGGGAGTTGGTGGAGGTCCAGGGGGAATTGGTGGAGGTCCAGGAGGAGTTGGTGGAGTTACAGGTGCAGTTGGAGGAGGTCCAGGAGGAAGTGGGGCAGGAGTTAAACCCTCTAAAGGTGATTTGCTGTGAAAATCTTGATCTGTAAAATGTCTATTAGCTGTGTTTTTCTCTGTTTGTAAAACAAGGACTGTATTACAATCAATGCGTTTCTTCTAGTTTATAGCAGTACAGGTGGAACTGGAACTCTTGGAGTTGGAGTTGGAGGTGTAGGTGGAACGGGTCCAGCTGGAGCGGGAGGAGTTGGACTTTTGCCTGGAGGTGGTAGTTTACTACCAGGAGGTGGAGCTGAATAAAGTGCACTTAAAATTTACAAAAGAATGTAATTAGCTTGTGCCTATGTATAAGGATTTGTAAATCTGTTGTAGGTTATGGAGGAGCAGGAGGTTTAGGAGCTGGTGGGATCCAAACAGGGACTGGTAAAAAATGTTCAGATAAAAAAAAAACACATTCCTTATATTTTTAAGTACCAGTACTGACAATTATTGTTTTGCTGAGAACTGTGTGTATAATTTTTTTGCAGGCTTCAGGTTTCCCAGTGGGGCTGCAGTGGGCAGCAAACAAGGAAAAGGTACCAGAAAACAATTTGCTATTCCACAATTCTTATGATGAAAAAGGAATTTGGTTGTATTTTAAACACTGAACTGGAAAGACTGTTAAATAACTAATTTATCACTTTGATGAAAGTTTATGGGGCAGCAGGCACACTTGGTGGGCTTGGAGGCCCAGGCGGATATGGACCAGGACCCTTTGGCTATGGAGGTGGTCCAGGTGGTTATGGTGGTGGCCCAGGCAGTGCTGGTGGACTTGGAGGGTCTGGAATTGGTGGTAAGTTTCTGAATTTTTTTTTTTTTTTTTTCAGAAAATTTGACTACAGACACTTTTTTTTTTTACATTTTAATATTTATTTATTTATTAAGGGCTTGGCTATGGTCCTGGCACAGTAAAACCACCTAAAAGTACGTAAAACCCATCAAATCAACACTTTACTACTACAATAACCATTCCTTTGTAGGTTAGACAAAATTTATAATCACAATTTTTTATGAGGCTTTGGAGGAGCTGGAACATTGGGTGGGGCTGGAAGAGGAGGCATTGGTGGAGGTCCTGGAGGACTTGGTGGTGGTCTAGGAGTAGGACCAGGAGGTGCTGGAGGCATTGGTGGTGGTCTAGGAGTTGGACCAGGAGGTATTGGAGGTCCTGGAGGAGTTGGAGGACTGGGTGGAGGTATCATGTACTTTAATATACATTAAACATAAGTTTGACAGTAGTGCAAAAAAAAAAAACATTGATGAATTTTTTTTTTTTAGGTGCCAGATATCCAGGTGGTGGCCTGGGAGCTGGAGCTGGGAAACCTGGGAAATCAGGTTCTTGTTTTATAAAATATTAATTTAATTGTGGCTTATTAATACAATGTCATTACATTAGCTTAGGGGTCTGAATATAATGATAAACCTACTAATTGGGCTCGGAAGATGGTAGAGGGAGAGCCCTTGTGAAAAAGAAGTGTTAACTGTATTTAATGTGGACTTGCAGTGCTCTTCACATCTTAAGTATATTTTTAAACATTGACTTGCAGAAATAACAAATGTTCACCTTCATCATTACAAATGTGTAATTAGAAATATATTTAAATATGTGACATGCAAGTTTCAATAGAAATTACATTCAAGTATATTGTAGTTTACCATGAATACTTGTCAGCACAATAAAATGAAATTACATATAAAGATGTAATCAAGTCTTACATAAACCAGTCAAAAAAGCACTTTAAAGTTGCATTTAATATAAATGTAAAATATAATAAATTTTTATTTAATTATAAATATTATGTGATTAAGTGTCCAAAAACATTACATTAAGTTCGCACTTTAGTATATTATTTTAAAGTGTGTTATTTTTCGTAATAAGTAGTTTTTAAAAGTAAAAAGCAAAGAGTTTTTCACAGGGGAGTATAAGTAGTAAATTTGCACAGAATCATTCACATCAGTTAATACCTCTGGCAGATACCTGGTGATCAGATATGGCTGTGGCAACATGAAATTGAAACACTACTGACATCTTTGCTATTATATGATTATAATGTTGACATATTCTTTGTATTGTAGGGTATGGAGGTTTGGGTGCAGCTGGAGGCATGGGAGGTGTTGGAAGCCCACTAGGAACCGGTGGAGGTAAAGTTACATTGTATTCAGCATTGTCACTTAAGATTAATATGTTAATAAGGCAAATTCACTAAACTTAGTGCATGTTTTTTGTCAAATTCTTATTCTTGTCTCACCAAATGAATGAGCATACAGAATGTAAAATTTTGATGGATTATATTTACTTGCCTTTGTTTCAATGTCCTAAAGGCTTTGGCACAGGTGCACTGGGTGGTCAAGGCTATCAGCCAGGTGAGCTATTATATCCTTCCTCAGTTCTCCCTGTGCCTGTTGGAGAAATGGGCTTATCCACACCTTCCATTTTTCTCTCAGTTGAATTTATGAAATGCTTTGAAAGAGCAGATATCAGGATACATAACTGCATTGGATCTCTTCCTTTTTGCCCATCCATTTAAAATCTATGCAACCAAAACCAAAACTTTCACACATTAAAAAGTACATATAGACATTGTATAAGTAATTCATATGAATAGAGCAACTGAAACAACGTTTTGTGTGTGTGTGTGTGTGTGTGTTTGAAGAGACACAATCACTTTATTTGATCAAGAGATTTTATTTTAGGCTTTTATTCACATATAAACATTGATCAACGCACAATTAGAGCACATCAAACAAGGTCTGAGGCTTAGGTCAAACCTCATTAATTCTTGTGGAAGCTTGATCGTGCTTGCATGACACACAAGAACAAACCTCATCGGTTCTAGTACATCAAGTTAGCACGTTTGAGCATTCACTGGCCATATCTGATGTGCTTTTTGTGTTTCATTTGTATTTTCAAAGATGAACGACATGAGAAACTATGAAGAATTTTTATTTTGGGGTGAACTATCTCTCTTAAATACTCTAGGTATTTAAATGAGAATAAAGACAGGGACAAATTTAAGAAATGTTCCATTACAGTTCTGAATGAATTACATGAATTTGTATGATTGTTCTGTACACAACAAGGTTGCATACATATGGACATATTGCAATGTATGTGTGTGGAAAGAAAGCTAATGATACTATGCAATGGAGTCATTTATAAAATGCTGATTTGTGATCGCTTACAATCAGTTTACTTTAATACTTTGGATTTCTCACAAAAAAATTAAACCAAATCATGACAAAAGTCATAGCCGACAAATACATCCAAATTATCCTTAAAAAACATTCTGAATCAAACACTAGAGCAAAATTTAGGTGGTGTGTGATGGTTTACTGTACCGATGTGTTACAGTGATCAATGTAATTGGTTCAGTGTGATTAATGAAGAGTTGTGCTTATATTATATTGTATTGTAGGTTATGGTGGCACTGGTGCAGGGGGACCTGGAAGTGCTCCACTTACACCTCAGCAATGTATGTGATGCTTCTTCACACTCATTGTTAGCTAATATTTCAAATGCAGCAAATGATAAAATTAGATTTTTGTCTAAACATGTACATTATCCACAACCAATCACAAGTATTTATTGCATGTACATGTGTGTTGTATGATTCTTTATAGCAAAAGCAGCCAAATATGCAGCTCTTCAAGGCTTTCTAGGTGCAGGAGGCTACAGAGGTACTTAAAGGAGACATATTATGCCCCTTTTTACAATATGTAATATAAGTCTCTGGTGTCCCCAGAATGTGTCTGTGAAGTTTCAGCTCAAAATACTCCACAGATCATTTATTATAACATTTTGAAAATGCCTATTTTGAGTGGAAGCAGAGTGGGGCCTGTCTCTTTAAATGCAAATGAGCTGCTGCTCCCCGCCCCCTTTTCCAGAATAGAGCTGCACCTTTACAGCTCATACCTGCTAAAAACATCTGTTTTGGTTCTGATTATCATGTTTATCGCGCTGAAATCATGCGTTTTAAACCATATGAGTTTAAACTTCTGATATATGGTTTTCTGAGCGCACACATCCGAAGCACATGGACAGAAAGCGACTGTCACAGCATGTGAGTACTAAACTAAGTCCTAATTTACACACAAGTTTACGTTTAAAACACACGAGTTACAAAAAAACAGTGGGTTATGTCTGTGAAGGTAAACTGCTGGGAAATAAATCGCATATTTATTTTAGATCTGTGTGGCAGCAGCAATATACTGTAAATAATATGTCTGTGAAGGTAAACAGCTGGGAAATAAATCGCATATTTATTTTAGATCTGTGTGGCAGCAGCAATATACTGTAAATAAGTCAATAAATCCACTGCTCTCTTGTCTTCTCTGAGGCTGGGACTCTTAATAGTGTTCTGTGCTCGTCTGTGCAGCCAAAGACAGAACAGTCTCGTTTTTTCAGAGGCTTGCAGAAAAAGGCTTCCCAAAACAAAGTTACTGGGTTAATCTTTTTCACGTTTCCTTGGTTGGTAGATGCACCAGGGACCTGATTATAGCACTTAAAAGCTGGAAAAGTCAGATTTTCATATGTCACCTTTAAGTAGATATAAATGCACTTCTCTCAATTTTTCTTTGGACCACACTAGGGGTTGAACGACTTCAGATTTTTTAGTCGACATTTATGTGATGAAAGTGGAGTCGACATCAACTAGTCGCTGATGATGTCATTAATGAACAAATAAGCCTGAAGCTTGAGCTGAGACTTCAATACCTTGTGAACAGATATGACACAGTGATGCCCACATGGCTTTTGCTCCTATAACAGCTAATTTTTATCTTTTTTTTTTTTTTTGTCTTTGGGTCATTATATTTCTCACAGATTTCTGCTTGTTCTAAATCAGATACAGCTAAAGTAGCGCAGCAAAGATTGCATTTAAGTGAAAAGTGACGTGACGTGGCCAAGTATGGTGACCCATACTCAGAATTAGTGCTCTGCATTTACCCATCCAAAGTGCACACACACAGCAGTGAACACACACACACCGTGAACACACACGCGGAGCAGTGGGCAGCCAAGCGTCGTTAATATCGCTTATCAGTTTGAGCCCGATTAAGAAGCAGAGGATATTGTTGAAGAGGATCGTGCAGAACCTGTGCAAGCACGGCTTTTAATGGTAGGCCTATGTTTTTTGTTTGTTGTTGTCTCATACTTCTTTAGAACATTGATTTTGAAACTTGTGAACCTATTAGAATCGTTAGAAGACAGAATTGCGATTCATATATGAATAGATTTTTACGTGCACCTCTAGTTTTCTCTTCCTCGTCTCTAAAGCAGCGCAGCATGGCCTCGCCCCCTTTGTGGCCTTTTCCCGAGGGCGGGGTTTATCTGGGTTTGTGATGTCACGAACCCGGGAAGTAACTCGTTGTAGTCCCTACCAGCCGTTTTTGTAGGCATTAAACTGCCAGAATTTTAAAAGACGATATCTCCGTTTGCATTGAACTTTCAGCTTGGTAACTTTGCAGATATTGTTTATGCTCAAACAGCAACATTACACACTAACTAACACTAAAAAAGTGAAATCGCAATCAACCACCCTTTAAAGCGTCATGGCAGAGCATTAAAGTCGACTAGTCTGTGCAGCCCCTAGTCCATACTGCAAAAACCTGTTGAAACAATGAATTTTAGTTGCACAAGTTTATGTTTTATGTCCAAAGAAATCAAACCACAGAAAACAACGAATCAACTTTAAAATCAAAATGAAATTGACACCACTTACATTCATAATACACATTCCTGGTCTTATAAATGGCTCTTCAGTGCATGTTATTCCAAGTAAATGTAAAATGGGTTGCACGCAAGTTTTATATTGAAAGTATGAGCCTAAAATGAAAGTGTGAGCCAAAATACCATAGAAGTTTATTATGTATATATTGTGGTTATTATAGTGAACTAAATCTAAAACCATAACACCATTTTGTTACTTGAAATAAAATAAACTTTAATTGAAATAAAATACAGTAAAATATAAAAAAAAACCTTAAACTTATTTTTTCCTTACTTATTAAACTTCTTTTTCTAATTGCCAAGGAAACATTCCTGATTTTTATTTAGTTTAACTTGATGTACTAAAATAACTAAAACTGAAATAAAAATGAACAAAAATATAGACAATTAAAAAAGGCAAAAACAACTAAATTACTAAAACTTTAACTGAAATTAAAATGGAAACAGAAAGTATAAAAATAAAAACAAATTCAAAATATTAATAAAAAGTATAATAGTTTCTCAGTGATTCTAAAACTGGTTGTAGTTCGAATAAAAAGAGTGTAAACATGAAAGACTGTTATCAGTAGTGGTGGTACTGACAGTGTCTTTTCCTGTAGGGGGCGCAGGATGCCAAGGCAAATACTGTGGAAGGAGGAGGAAGTGAGAAACCAGCCGATAAATGTGACCTCATAAACAAGTGGTGCTACTGCCTGATCTCAAATGCACTTTTTTTACAGTTTAAAAGTGCCTCATGTAATATGTGAGCGATTTGGACTAGATCGTATGATTAGGCTAGATGTGATGTGAACCTCACTTAAGGCACTCTTTGCACTGCCTATACTCCCTTTACTATACTTATGTCACTGTACATTTTCTACAAGTGTCACATGATTGCTTGGTTTTTTAAAAACATTTTATTTTCAGCCATTTTACCATTTAATGTTCCATCTTAAAATTCTGCAGTTCCAGCTGTGCATCTCTTATGGTTTTGTTGCAGTAGCTCACTTAGCTGTGTATGTAGACGCATGCAATCTAGGAATGTGTCGCTGCTATTTCAGGATGAACTGTGACCATGGGGGAAGCAGCGTCATTAGGCTTCATGTCCTGGCCACCTATCGTAAAGGGAGCCTATTTTCTTTTTAGCTATATGCATACGAGTTCATGAATCCATATTTTGTCTTTTCCAGCATCTTCAGTCATTCAAAGTGTAGTCAGACAAAGGAACGGGATCTAGGCTTACCAATTTTAGTCTTTTAAGAACAAAATGCTTGTCGTAACTGCAGTAGACAGCATCTAAGTACTGAGGATTATAAGCTGTCTTCAAAGATACCTCAGGAACTTGAAGCAGTTTCTTTTCTTCTATCCTGACCCTAGTAAAACCTTGTTTTTGTTTGTTTGTTTTAATGTAACTCTTATTAAATGAAAATGTTGGGTTTTTAAGGGTATCTATGCATTTAACCTAACTCGTTTTGGGGTTGGTAGGCATTGTGTGTTGTGTATGTTGTATCTGTGTTTGTATAAGTGCAACTATTCAAATGTGACAAAGTATCATAAAAGCAATTCACCTTAATCTTCTCACATTGTTTACCTTTGTTCTTCAAGTTTATGCACTTGTTACTTTGTGAAACTCCCAACACATTTGTGTAGGGCCTTTTATTTGGGCCTTTTATCCATCATACATTTCTAAAAAATAAATTGTAAAAACCAAAATATGTTTTGTTTTTTCAATTTTGATCTACTCTTAAAATGCAGGACACACATAAAACACAACATTTTGGAACACATAAAAAGGCATATGGGATTTTGGTTTTAAAATTATAAAAATAACATTTTATAAAATGTATATATTTTCCTTTAATCTTACGTTACGGTCCTTCTACTTCCGGGTATGAGGCCGCAGCGATGTGCGTTGGGGGAGAGTGTAGGGAGGAGGGAATGGCTCAGCCGGGTGACTCCCCGAGGACTTCCCGATCCTCCTATGTGTCGTGCACCCCGGTAGAGCATCTGGATGGGTTTGAGAGCTTGTCTCTGGGCGAGTTACATTTTTAATTCGGGGCTCGTAAAGACGAGGTATCAATCGCAGCATCGGAGGGTGGGCTAGAGCCATCTGACGCAGTTTCAGTCTGGGGCAGACGCTGAAATGGCAGCCATGCTTGCCCGGGTGGCCAAGAGTATCGGGCTGGAGTGTTCTCCCCCACCCTGTACCGAGAGCTCACGGCTCGATGATTGGTTTCTGAGTGCTGAGCATGACTCTAAGCCAAGACCAGCCCTAGTGCCTTTCTTCCTGGTGGTGCACGAAATTGTGCAAGGCCCTTTTCTCGGCCAGGACACGATATACCGGTTACTCCGCTCTCATCGCCCTCGATGGGGGTCCAGCAAGGGGTTATACGGAGATCCCTCAGGTGGAGAGAGCGATTGTGGTGCATCTATGCCCGCAAAACGCCGCCACTTGGTGGGGCTGTCCGAGACTCTCGTCCAGGGCCTGTAAGTTTTCTTCGTCTCTCGTGGCGAAAGCTTACACGGCTTCTGGACAAGCTGCATCTAGGTCTTGCAGGTAATGCACTCGGCAATTGACTATGCCCTCCGGGCTATGAAAGCCAGATTGGCCCCCTCATTCAAGTCCTCGGTTTACTCGCGCTCATAGCATTAGCACAGCATCAGTTGTCCAAAAGAGTTCGGTTCAGACGGTGCTGCTGTCATGTACTGTTCGGTAGATTCACCCTGAATCACACATGCAATTAATATCTCTAAGCCATGTCGACAATGCCCACGCATTTTGCAAAGTGTGTTGCACTGATTTTAATATCGGATATTAATAATACCCCCACTTTTAATAAACCGTAAAATTCGTCCCCCGTACTTTTTCGGGCAAGTGTGTTCACGTAGAGTTTTCATTGGCCAGTGTGAATAAATCTAGATTTAAATTCAAAGAGAAAAGATCTATGCATGACCTGGCGTTTTATTCGTATCCAGAAC